GTCGAAGTTTTTCTTGTTAATACTAATGGCTGCCAAATCACAGACATAGCAATTGCCGGAAAATTCGATACCAAATTTTTCATAGACATTAGTTGATTTGGGCTTAACGATCTCTATAGGCACCAGGTCGCCAAAGTCGCCGAGGTTATCGACCGGGACTTCGACAATTTGCTTGTCTATCGTGTCATTGTTCCGGGCTCGTTCGCGGGTAGCTGTAGAACCAGGTTTTGAATTTTCCTGGTTGCAGGCGGCAATAAGACAGGAAGAAATTAAGATCACAATGCTGATTGACTTATTCATACTTATGTTGTGCGGGTACTTCAACTTCCAGCATTGTCTACCGGCAGGGTCGAAGTTCTATAACTGAAGTTAGCAACAATTGGGATCTTTTATAGCCGCGTCCAAACTTTTAATCAAAACCTTGGATAAAGTAATGTGAAGCGTAAATCGCATTTATACAGTGGTCACCCCAATAATTGTCAAATGCCCATTTAAATGCACATACTGCACTTTCAACTGTTGAATGCTCATTAGGTGCAACCGGAACTTACAACCCGCTGATGAAAGTGTACTAAATCACCCCTTATCGCTACTATTTAGTTTTTCCTGAATGATTGTACAATGATCCAATAAACTTTTCAATCTCCCGCACAATTATTTTGCGGCTTTCATAACTTGCCTGTTTGGTATTTACAAGATCTGCCAGGTTACTAATCAGTAAGTGTATGCGCATATCCAACAATGACAGGTTGCTTCTATCTGGCCGATTTCCGGGAACACGGATAATTCCGTTAGGAGTTAATACCCAACCGTCATTACCGCCAATCAGCCCGACAAGTATTTTTAAAACTTCTGCAGTAATGGTATTTTGATGTTCCAATGGAATAAAATCATGAGGTGTCACATATGTGACCGGGTCAAGTCGAAAACCTCGCCTGGCGCCATTAAACGTCCCCAAACCTACAATTTGTCCTCTGTCATTAATGTCGTTAGCAAATTCCAAATGCCATCCTGAATTTGGGTCGATAAGAGAATTTAAATCGACCATCGATGGCGGTACTGTTAAAGGAATAGGAACTCCATTGGGTCCTGTCAGGTATTGAACAAATGGTTTGTTACAAAGGAAAGCGTTAAACTGGTTGTTGTCCGAAGGAAGAGTATACCAACCAACTATCTCTCCTTTATTATTAATAGCTTCAGCTACTCCCCTGTTTATAGCAAAAGAGGTATCCAAAAACTCGGGATT